GGAGAGCTTTCCATGTCAATGTAGAGGTATCGCCTCACTGTTATAAGATGGGCAGATTAGCATCCTGCAGTGTGGTATTCTTACTAGAATTTATCTAAGCAGTTTGCTACTGATGGACACTTAGGTTCATTCAGTATTTGTACTTTACACATAAAGCTTGTTTATACCTAAATCTTTGCAAATGCTTCTCTCTCCCAACACTGAAAGAAAAGGACATAAGAACAGTATTGGTTTCCAGAAAGATGAAGTCATTTTTTCAGGATGGTTTACATTCCCGAGTTACTAGTTAAGTAAGTAGCACCATCTAGCTCTGACTTTCTTTACATGCAGCTGTCAGAGGTTCGGAAGGGGCATATTGATGTGTTCCTGGTTTTAAGGAAGAAATGACCCATTTCAGGGGTCAAATTGCAACTTTGAGTTGGACTTCCTGATAACATGTTTTACCACACCCTGTAAGCTTCCCTTCTAACACTTAATGCTAGTTGCAGTTAGGTAGTTATTTGTTGAATTCTGTCTTCGCCTCTAGACTGTACCATATGTTCTTAAAATTTGATACAAAGTAGGTATTCAAGTAAAGTGTGGGCAAATAAACAATGAGCAGGAATGTCAATAGGATTTTAGCATTTTTTGGATACTGACTGTTACTATGTTGTCTCTAAGAAGAATTTTATATCCCTTGAAAAATTAAAATAAAAAAAATTCCATCAAAAATTATTTGAAAGTTCTGTGTAGTATTATTGGAGCCAATTAGAATAACAATAAGAGCAAGAAATATGAAATGACAAATAACAAACATTTCATAATGTAATAGCAATTTAAAAATATGCTACAACCATTGAAAAAAATATCTACAATACCAGATTTCAGATACCTTTGAATTTTGTTTTTGGTACGACTTGATGAAAAATGCTTTTGGTCTAAATTCTGCACATTTTAAATTTTTTAAAATTCCATTATAATTAGACTGACATAGGCCATCCTTAGAGCAGGTTTATTTTTAATTATCCATTTATTTTTCCAATATAATTAATAATTTTACTTGCACACTTATCATTTCAGCCTGTTTTGTTCTTTCAATGGAATGTCAAGACTGTTGGGGAATTCAACCCATATCCACTGATATACTATGATTTTGTTATTATATAGCCAACCCCTAGGGAAATGAGCTTATTTTAGGGGTATTTGTATTGTTCTGTATGTAGCTCTATTCTCATAAAAATTCTTGGCCATTCTGATAATATTTGAAAGGCTATTCAGTAATAGGAAGCAGGGTACTGGGAACTTGTCAGGTTATCTCAACAATTGGACTTTTTTCTTTTTGATAGTTACGGAGGAATACTCATTTCTACATTTGGGGGCATCATTAAAGTTACCCACTTTTCATATTTTGTCACAGCTGTTGTTACTGTCTGCGTGATTTTATGATGTAACAAATTTTGGATGGATCAAATAAAGTGAATCTTTGAGAAAAATTACAGCTTCCAGATAGGTATAGCAGCTGGCGAGTGTTCTCAGGTAAAGCAGGAGCAGGTTGTCCATGGACTTGGTGTGTCAGCTGGCAGGGTGGTCTTGTTTCAGGGTACAATTTGACTGTCCAGAGGGGTTTGCAGTGTCAGCCCCCGTAGGCATGTACCATCACACTATGACACTGCTGCTGTGGCAGTGGAGGGAATTTTCCAGGTTAATTTTAATTTGCCAAAACCATATGCCTGTGTGTGTGTGTGTGTGTGTGTGTGTGTGTGTGTAACCAACCATTCTATTGTTTAGTGTATATTCTTTCACACTTCTCTTTGTTTCTATGGAAAAAACGTTATTAGCATTTTAACATAATATTTAAGTAGAATATTTTGTAATCTGCTCCTTTATCTTTAGTGTGTCTTGGAAATGTTTCATGTGAGCACATGTAGCGCTCCCTCATTCTTTTTAAAAAGGGTGTAACTTTCCATAGTGTGATTATATTTCAGCTTATGTAATTGTTCTGTTATGACACATAAGTTCATACCACTTTTTTCTGTTACAAGCAGTGGTTCAGTGAACATCCTTATCTGTGCTTCTTTGTATAAAATATATTTCTCTAGAGCAGGGGTTCTCAAACTTTTTGGTCTCAGGAGTCCTGTTACACTCTTCAGATTTCTTGAGAATGCTGTAAAAGCTTTTGTTTGTGGTTTGTATCTATTGCTACTATATAGAAAAGCCTTGCATATTAACATATGTAATGTGTATTTTATGAAAGTGACTTCAGAAACTTGAATGGTATTTTTGCAATCTTCTTAATAGAAGACCTGGATTCTCCTATTTGCTTCTCATTCATTATTCTGTGATGTCCCACATCAGTAGCCTCTGGAAAACTCACTTTGTACATTCACAAGAAAATGAGAATAGAAAGGGAAGTAAAAATATGATGTTATTATAAATTAACATCACAGAACTCCTTCTGCAAAAGGGTCTCGGATTCTGAGGTTGCCAGGCTACACTTTGAGAACTATTGCTTTGGAATCCAATTTCATGGTGGAGTTAAAAGTCCAAGGGTCAAAAGGTGTGTTTGGAGACCCCTTAGAACTTAGACACTTTTTTTAATTTGCTATTCTTAAGGTTGAAGTAGCATTTTATGGTATTGGTTTGCAGTTGCCTGTTTACAGTGTTATTTCACAAGACATATTTCTAGGCTCTACCTGCCACTCTTGGCAGTGTCTGGAGACTGCACCTTTCCTTCTGGCCATTTACCATTTGGCCTGGGGTTTTGGATTTTGGAGAGGCAGACAGGTCTCAACTTGCTATCTTTTGCTTATGAAATCCTTCCCACCCTCCAAAATCCATCTTAACTCTGTTTAACTTTTTTTGTTTTTAAAGCTAAAAGGTTTCCTGTTTAGTCAACTGATAAAACTATAAACATGGTTTGCTAGTACATGTGAAAATGTCTTTTTTAAAAAGTCTTTTAAGAGTTAACATCTGCTTCTCATTTGAAGCCCTAGAATAAGGGTTCCTGAAGAAAGGCTCAGCTGTGCCTTTGGCTGGGGAACTTAATTCTCTCTCAGATAGCACCAGGTTGTTTATTTGCAAAGCACAGTGCACTGTCTGTTTAAATGAAATAATACATAGACAGAGGTCTGACACATGGTTGGTATTCAATAAATGTTGGCTGAACTGAACTGAGGGTAAATTAAGCTTTTACACTCTGAAGGTACTTTACTAAATTGTGAGCCCCCAGCAGATCTGAGACAGGCTTATGCTCCTCTCCAGCTTCCATGCAGATTTAGGGCCACTCAAGGGTTCTGGAGGCTTGTTGGGTGAATCTGGGTGATGGTGACTGATTTGCCACCCTTCCTAACCCTAGTGTCCCTGGAGGGAAGAGAGCCCAGGGGCTGGTGCTTATAGCCTTCTTCTTACTAAGGCTTCATTCCTCTTCTAAAAACACTCTTAAGCCTTTGTGGTTTTGTTTTGTTTTACTTGTCCACATTCAAGCAAATAATGGAACAGCAATGATGCCTTTTTAAAACTGAAGGAGCACTCTTAGGATATTTCTTTTTTATTATAATTTTTTTAGGATATATACATTAAACAGGGAGTGATTTGTAGTGATAATGCTGATTAGTCTTACAGTGTACATTATTTACATTGCCCACATGTCTCCCTCTCAGCGCCCTCCCCACATATTTATTTCTTAACAGCAAGGAACAACAGCAGTGTGGCTCACATGTGACCAGAAGGCATCTCCCTGGGATCAGTCCCACTCTGTAATATGAAGACACTAGGCTAAAATGAGTTGTTGATGCGCTGCCTGTGCCCTTCCAGCCCAGGAGCTGTGGCTCATGCCTGCCTTACAGTAATTCTCTTTCTCATCTCTTCTCCCGTTCACTCCTGTTCTCATTCGTTGGTGCTGTGTTCACGTGGATCATCGTACTGCACAGTCAGACCTGCCAGTAAAGAAGCGGACAAGAGCCCAGGGGCTTGCCACTTTGTGGTGACTTTCTTCAGAATTCTGGCTGTGTCAGTGCCTTTCAACAAGTACTGTGGTGAGGAAGCCTCACCCAGGATGCCCAGGAAGACAGCCTTCAGCCGAATGGCACATGAGTGTGTAAGAAGCCTCTTCAGAAGAAATGGGTATGCTTTAATTTTTTTTTTTGGAGGAACTGAAAGAAAATTAGTGTCATTGGACCTATTGAGCAGAGAGTGAATGGTGTAAAGAGGTTGGAAGATGAGCAGGGGTTTGATGATGGGACCTGGATTTTAGAGTTTATCCAAAGAATATTCAGAAGATTTTCATGCTATGAGCATGAGGCAGGTGTGGTGGTATACATCTGTAATCCCAGCGACTTGTGAGGCAGAGGAAGGAGGATTGTGAGTTTGAGGCTCGCCTAGGCAAATTAGTGACATCCTTTCTCAAAAAGCAAATTATAAACAAAAGGGCTGGGAGTGTGGCTTAAGTGGTCTAAGCATTTGCTTAGCTTGCAGGAGACTCTGGGTTCAGTTCCCAGCACTGAATTAAAGAAATAAAGAAATGAAATGAATCTTACCTCCGATGCTTGGTGGAGAATGGACCATTATTGAGAGACTAGTTAGGGCCACCATAGCAATTTCATGCTTACCAACTTGTGTGTACTTTGAGGAACAGCTGTGTCACCTATATCTTAGAACTGGCATGGTATATTGTATGGAGCAAATGTTTCATGGAAGTTTTTCAGGAGCTGTTGCTGGCGAGTGCTGTAGGCATGTCTAGTGCCTCTCTGTTGTCCTGAAAATGCTGGAGTTGATGTGGGAAAGACCCAAGCTGGTCATACTCAGCAAGTGTGTTTTGGGCTTTGAAGCTCTGCCAGTACAGTGCATCGTAAGTAAGGCTGTGGCTGGCAGCGTTGAGCTGGGCCGGGTGTGCTGTGGTCCTGGACCCATGTAGTCTCCAGTAGTTTACTCTTGTTCCCTGGCAGAGCAGGAAGCCCTGTCTGCTGAGAGCCTGTGAGCTGGCAGTCCTGGAGGGTCTGGTCAGAGTCCTGGAGGGGAACAGCTGAGGAGAGGGTGTCCTGAGAGGAAATTGTGTGGTGCCTCTGCATTTAGGCTGTCCCTCCTAATGCTGTCCCTTGTCCTTAGGACCAATATTAACAGCCTCTGTATTTTGTGTGTGAGATCCATTAGGCATGATATTTTTCACAGCAGCAATCTTTCATTTATATTTTTTCATTTTTGAAAGACCGTGTGGGATACACAGTGGTTAAGATGTGAGTTTTGGAGCCAGATTGCCTGGGGTCTGATCCTGGCACACCACACATTCAGCACCAGGCCTTGGAAAAGCTATGTGATTTCTGTGTGCCCTAGCTTCCTCATCAGTAAGTGGGATCATAGTAGAATCTATCTCACAGGGTGGTGAGAACTCAGTGAATTAACACAGGTAAAGCACCGGAGCAGTCTCTGGAAGGTAGAAAGCACTCAGGGCAGGTTAACTGCAAACATGTCCCTAATCCTGTTTTGACCTTTTACAGAGGAACAGTTGCCAGCAGACAGGTGTCAGGTTATTTGCCCAGAGGCACACAGTGTGAGCTGTAGTGCTGTTTGGTTCTATTTGCCTTTTGCTGTGTGTATGAGGGATGGTGGATTGAGTGGAGCAGGCTTGCACCCTGCTCAGAGGCTGCTGACGTGCACCAGGTCTCCAGCTCTGTTGCGTGGAATCACTCCCTGCTCCTTGGATTCTTGCTGGGAAGGGCACCTGCACTGTAAGAGTTGCAGCCAGTCTCACCTGGGCTCAACAGTGAAGCCCAGATGATGACATCAGGAGCGTGAGTGCGTGGACTACAGCACTGGAGATGCTAAAGCAGTAATGTGCTCCCACTCCACCCTGCTGAGCCCTCTTGCCACTGCTCACAGAGTCAAGGCTGGAGCCCAGCATGCCCTCGCTTTGATCCCCAGCTGGGCTCTGTGTTCCAGGCATAGCAGTCTGTTCCTTGTCCTAAACAGGCTATCAGCTTTAAATACTCAAAGTGTTAACAGTGCTGGTTCACTCTGTGATCAGAAGAATTTCAGATTCTTTGTCCCACATGGAAGAATCCATGGCAGGACACATGGCTGTAAAGGGAGTTTATTAAAAGCGATGGAATTTACAAAAGGGAGCTTGGTGGGGGGGGGGGCAGGTAGAATCTGCTGTCAGAGAGAGAGTGCTTCTCTTTCTCAGTTACTTTAAAAGTGATTCTCATCCAATAATCAATGAGCGGGGAGGGGCATGGGTGGTACCCGGCCAGGTGACCATTGTGCCTGAGCCAAAGCATGGTTGATCTAAGATGTAAAATTTTTCTTATGAGTCCCAAACTTTCCCTAATTTTAGCCTGCCTCAAAGGCACTTACTTAGGTATGCTGTTTCTGCAGCCAGGTTTCTATCCTCTCCTCCCTTTGAGTGTGTGTATCTGCTGTGGTTCACTATTTTCTACTCTTATGTGATATTTTTGTCTGTTATCATTAGTAGTTTATGTTCGTATTTGTGTCCTCCTCAACTGGACTGTAAACCCCTGTGGGGGTGGGCAGGGGCCATGCCCTGTTTCTTTGAATCCCTGTCACACACACGTAACATGTCCATAGTTGGTGCCCAGTGGTGCTTCTGGAGATAAGCTCAGTACTTGATATCTGAGTGCCTTCAGAACACCCTTGCTCTATTGCCTCATCTACGAATGGGAGGAATGGAGCCCTTAGGAGCACAGGAGTCCTTGGCTATCTGCTGTGCTGTTGTCACAAAGGCTGTGAAGTAGTACATACTGTGCTCTGATGAAAAGCTTCAAAGTCCCTTTTCTTTAGTGAGGTTCCTTGAAGAAAGCTTTTGCCACTTGATCATCTGCATCTGTCACGTGATGGTCTGTTTAGACTGTCCTTGCTTCACAAAGAAGTCTCATGACTGATTGTCTACATAGTGGTGACAGTTCTTGTGAGCTCTTTTCATTTTGTCAGAGTCACTACTCTTTGACTCAGTACAGAGGTAGATGTTCAAGGCCTTCCACAAGAAGGGGTTTCTTTGTTTCCGGAACTACAATAGCTAGCTTTTAAGAGATGTCTTCAGGAAGAGGTGATGGGAAAGGACTCAGTGATGTTGAATGTGGTTTCAGACTCACGACCTTTTAAAATCTTAGTTCCAAGTTTTTCAAGGCCCTCTTTTTGTGATGTATTTGTTCTGGAGGTTTAGAATATGAAAGAGATATGAAAGCAGTAAGTAAATGGGCAATTAAAATAATCATAAGTGCACTGAAGAAAATAGTACAGGATTTGACAAAGGAATCCTACATCCTTGTACCGCAGTGCCTGACATAGAAATGAAAAGCTTGGCTACCATTTATTGACTTTTTACTGGGTGCCGTTACTGTGGCAGACACTTCCTTTAATGCTTATAGGAATTTTATGAGGTTTTACAAATGAAAAAATTAGGTTCAGAGAGGTTAAGTAACTTACTAAGAATAAAAAGAAACCCAATGTTTATCGAGTATAATGGAATCTTTTTTAAAGCAACATTCAGGAATAAGGGTCTAGTGCCTCTATTTGTAGACTTACTTAATTTCCCTGATTTCCATATTGTTTCACACAAGTTAGTCTGTGTCAGTGAAGACCAGCTGAACAATAGTTTGTTCTGACACTTGTACTTAAGGGCATCTATCAAAATTATCCACTGGCCTTAACTTGTCTGTTCCTTTAACATTTTTCTTAAGCTGGCCCCTTTCCCAAAACCTCTTGCGTTTTTGCACCATCTGTTTCTCATGTTCACCTTGGGTTCCCACCCAGGTTCTCTCAATACCCTCTTACAGTGCAATCCCAAGACCAAACACATTTCCTCTGGTGGAAGTGTGACCAGACTGGGGTTGCTGCAAGGATTTATTTTCTGTCTCTCACATGTCACATTCCTGTTGTGACATTTTTGATGATGGTTTTTTTTTGACTGACCCTCCCCTCCATGTGTCCAGCCCCTGTCCCCACCAGGTGGGCTCCATGTCTGCAGTGCCCACCACCCAGCTGACTGTCTCTGTGACTCCACACAACGAACATTAGGTGCCTGGGAACAATCCACACACATGCCACCTCTTGGCTCTGTCGTTTTGGTGACCCTTTTTAATGAACTTGGGCTTGGAGCTCAGGTGCGTGTTGCTGGAAGAATTGGTGCTTGTCCTTTCCTTGTGCCTCTTCAGCACTGGCCAGCCTCGTGCTCCACAGGGTCTAATCACCTCCACATCACCCAGCTCAGGTTTGCCTCTACTCTGTCTCCTCCCTGCCACTGGTCACTTGTGTTGGGGGAAGAGGATAGCTATACGCTTGGACTTGAATCATAGCTTGGTCAAGTGTCAGTTGACTCATTTTACCTCTTTGAGTCTCTATTTCCTCTTCTGTAAAATGGGGAAAATGTTAACTGCTGAGGTTTCTTTCATTGGATGGAATGGGAACATCAAATTTCTTTCTCGTAGTGGTCAGTAATTATGTCTCTTCTCTTCAGGGAGGTTATTCTGTGTTGGGATGGAGCTCATAGGTGATCAGTACTTAGGGAAGTGATGTCAACATGGTATCTGGTTTTCTTACAGCATGTGAATGGTGTGTGCCACCAAATAAGAATAATGGATAAAGCAAGCTGAAGAGGAATAGGGTGTGTACATATGCAATATTTACACAGTCTCCGAGGTCTCCCCATAGAGCTCTTATCATCTCACAGTGGAAAAGGGGCACTTTTGCTATAGAGAGACCTGTCTGATGGCCTCTTAGCCAGGTGACCACTACAGGTGACATCATGAGCCATGGTGGAAATTGTCATCTGGTGCTTCTCAAAGTGGTGGCCCTTCTGTAGGATTCCTTCCATAATGCAGAACCTGGATCAGGGAGTGGAGCAACAGACAAACACAAAGCAAGGGGCATTGCACAAAATAGAGACCGCAGTCAGGGGCATGAATGATAGAGAAAGGCTGTGGACCGTTCGTTCCAGGATCAGGTGACTGTGAGAACTAAATGCAGTGTGGTGCAGTATTGGATCCTGGTTGGAAGAAATGCAAGTTGCTGTAAAGGATAGTTTGGGAAATCAGGATCCCTAGGCTGAAATCTGAAATTCAGAATGCTGTGAAGTCTGAAACTTTTTGAGTACCGACATGATGTTCAAAAAG